AGATGAATTGAACAGGTATTTTCCCTCCATCTTATAGTGGATAGATAGTGGATATAAGTAACATCCCTGAATCGACGATAAATCAGGAAGTGGAATGGAGGAAGATAGCCAGGAAAATTACAATCATCAGGGAAGTGGTACTGAGTAAATTGTTGGACTTGTGGGCTGACAAGTGCCCGGATGCTGATGGACTTCATCCCAGTGAGTGATTAGTGAGATGCACTGGTTTTAATTTTTCAAAACTCTCTTGATTCAGGAATATCCACTAGATTGAAAGACAGCAAGTGTAAGTCCTTTATTTAAAAAAGGGATGAAGACAGAAAACCAGAAACTACAGGCCAATTAACTTAACATCTGACACAAAAAGAATGTCAGAAGCTATTAGTAAAGAAGTTATAGCGCAGCACTTGGATAAGTTCAAGGTAATCAAGCAGCATTGACAAGGTTTTATGGAAGGAAATCATGTTTAACCATTCTATTGGACTTCTTTGTGGTTATATGAATAAAGGAGAACTGGTGGATGTACTGTATTTAGATCTCTTTTTTCTATTCATTTGTGGAATGGGTGTCGCTGGCTGGCCAGCATTTCTTTCCCATCCCTAGTTGCCCTTGCAAAGTTGGTGGTGAGCTGCCTTCTTGAACCGCTGCAGTCCACCAGCTGTAGGTTGACCCACAATACTATTAGGGAGGGAATTCCAGGATTTTGACCCAGTGACAGTGAAGGAGCAGCAATATATTTCCAAGTCAGGATGGTGAGTAGCTTGGAGGGGAACTTGGAGGTGGTGGTGTTCCTATATGTCTGCTGCCCTTGTCCTTCTAGATGGAAGTGGTTGTGGGTTTGGAAGGTGTTGTCTGAGGATCTTTGGTGAATTTCTGCAGTGCATCTTGTAGATAGTACACACTGCTGCTACTGGGCATTGGTGGTGGAGGGGGTGGATGCTTGTGGATGTAGTGCCAATCAAGCAGGCTGCTTTGTCCTTGATGGTGTCAAGCTTCTTGAGTGTTGTTGGTGCTGCACTCATCCAGGCAAGTAGGGAGTATTCCATCACATTCCTGACTTGTGCCTTCTAGATGGCGGACAGGCTTTGAGGAGTCAGGAGGTGAGTTACTCGCCACAGTATTCCCAGCTTCTGGCCTGCTCTTGTAGCCACTGTGTTAATGTGGTGAGTCCAGTTGAGTTTCTGATCAATGATAACCCCCAGGATGTTAATAGTGGGGGATTCAGTGATGGTAACACCATTGAATGTCAAGGGGTGGTGGTTAGATTGTCTCTTATTGGTGATAGGTCATTTGTGTGGTGCGAATGTCACTTGCCACTTGTCAGCCCAAGCCTGGATATTGTCCAGATCTTGTTGCATGTGAACATGGACTGCTTCAGTATCTGAGGAGTCCTGAATGGTGCTGAACATTGTGCAATCATCAGTGAACATCCCCACTTCTGACCTTATGATGGAGGGAAGGTCATTGATGAAGCAGCTGAAGATGGTTGGGCCAAGGAGATGTCATTCAAGAAGATGCCTAATCAAATTGTGGAAAATAAAAGCTCATGCTGTAGGGAGTAGCATATTCACATGGATAGATGATTGGCTGGCCAACAGGAACAGTGAGATACATAAATAAGTCTGTTTCAGGTCGGCAAGATATAATGAGCAATGTGCCTCAGGGATCAGTTCTGGGACCTCAGCTGTTTATAGTTTATATAAATGGCTTAGGTGAAAGGATGGCCGCTTTGATTGCCAATTCTGCTGAACGCACAAAGATAGGTAGGAAACTAAGTTTTGAAGAGGACATAAGCAGATTGTAAAAATATATTCATAGGCTAAGTGAGTGGACAAAGATATGGTAAATGGAGTATAATGTGGGAAAATGTGTGATTGTCCAGTTTGGCAGAAAGAATGAAAAAAAAGCATGTCATCAAAATGATGTAAAATTTCAGAGCTCTGAAATGCAGAGGGATATGAGACTCCTCATGCATGAATCCCAAAAGGTTAGTATGCAGGTACGCCAAGAAATTGGCAAAGCTGATAGAATGTTATCATTCATCACAAAGGGAATTGAATACAAAATCAGGGAGTTTACGCTTCAGTTATTCATGGCATTAGTGAGACCTTAGCTGGAGGACTGTGCACTCCAGTATGCAGGAGTATTGGTCTCCTTATTTAGTGCAGAATGTAAAAGTGTTGGAGACAGTTCAGAGAGGGTTTACTAGGCTAATAACTGGAATGAGGAGTTGTCTTATGAGGAAGTATTGGCCAGGCTAAGCATTTATCCGCTGAAGTTTAGAACAGTAAATGGTGACTTGATTGAAACATAAAATCTTGAAAGATCTTGACAGGTTAAATGTGGAGAGGCTGTTTCTCTTATGACCCCTAGAACTAGGGGTCACTATTTAAAAATCAGGGGTCATGCATTTAAATCAGAGACTATGCAAAATTATACACATTTCTCTCAGAGGGTTATGAGTCTGACAAATTCTTTTCCTGAAAAGGCAATGGAAGCAGAGTCCTTGAATATTTTTAAGACAGAGGTAAGTGAGGGGCTGTTAGGTTATCAGAGGTACATGGAATATGGATTTGAGGTTACAATCAGATTAGCCGTGATAGAATATTGGAGCAGGCTCAGGGAGCTGTATGGCCCATGCTTGCTCCTGATTCATACATTCGTAAATATCCCTCCTCCAGCTTGACAGCAATGATAGAACTGGGGGATATGCCTGGCCATGAGGTTACAAATTGTAGTGAATATGATTCTGCGGCTACTGCTGATGGTTCACTCTGCCTTATGGATGCTAGATCTGTTTAAAATCTATCCAGTTCAGTACAATGATAGTGCCACGTAACACAATGAAGAGTATCCTCAATATAATTGCAGGAGTTCATCACTACAAGGATAGTTGAGATGGTGATTCTTACCAGCACTGTCATGATCTTACAAGATGATCAGAGGATTAGATAGGGTGGACAGTGGGAGCCTTTTTCCTCGGATGGTGATGGCTAGCACGAGGGGACATAGCTTTAAATGGAGGGGTGATAGATATAGGACAGATGTCAGAGGTAGGTTCTTTACTCAGAGAGTAGTAAGGGTGTGGAATGCCCTGCCTGCAAAAGTAGTAGACTCGCCAACTTTAAGGGCATTTAAATGGTCTTTGGATAAACATATGGATGATAATGGAATAGTTTAGGTTAGATGGGCTTCAGATTGGTTTCACAGGTCGGCGCAACATCGACGGCTGAAGGGCCTGTACTGCGCTGTAATGTTCTATGTTCTATGTTCTATGCTCTATGTTCTATGGACTGGTGCATCTACCAAGTAGAAAAAGTACATACCAGTCTATAAGCACAGTTTGATTTTTTTGAAAGGCATTCAAATAAGAGCCACACACAAGGTTATTAATGGTTGCATGGAAGTACAGAATTTAATTTTTGAGGTGACTTCTTGAGAGGGAAAAATTCCATCCATTACCCACTGTCCTTTGCTGCATCTTCTTAAATGCTTGAATGTCTTTTTCAGGAGTTAAATTTGATCCTAACTGTTTCATGTGAAAGGAGATTTTGGGAACTGGATAGTGGGAAGAGAAGAAGTAAAAGAGCAGTATGTAGTATGTGGTGCAGATGTTAGAGGTAATGAGAAGTGGACAAGGCTAACGTAGAGCAAATGATTGTTTCAAATTCTTTTGAATCATTGAGTGTGAAAGCCAGTAGGGTGAAAGGTGATGACAAGGGGAATCCTATCATGATCCTGACAGAAAGAGTAAAAAGTAAGAGCAGAAAAATGAGGAATGAAATAGACATGGTCAATCATAATGGGGAGGAATCTCAATTGGAGGAAAGGAAGATATTTAAGAGGCACTGATTTTTTTTTTACTTGTGGGATGGAGATATTGCTGGCTGACCAACAATTTTATTTTCCACCCCTAGTTGCCTTTGAGAAAGTCGTGGTGAGCTGTTGCCTTGAGCCACTTCAGTCCACATGCTGTAAGTTGACCCGCAATGCCCTTAGGGAGAGAATTCCAGGATTTTGATCCAGCAACAGTGAAGGAATGGTGATTTCTTTCCAAATCAGGATGGCTTGGAAGAGAACTTGCAGGTGGTGGCGTTTCCAAGTATCTACTGCCTTTGGTCTTCTAGATGGAATTGGTCATAGGTTTAAAAGGTGCTACCTAATTTCTGCGATGCTTCTTGTAAATATTACACACTGATGCTACTGTTGCTGCTACGGTGGTGGAGGGAATAGATGCTGTGGATGTGGTGCCAATCAAGTTGGCTGTTTTTCGTGGATGGTAATAAACTTATTGAGTGTTTCTGGAGTGTGGAGTATTCCATCACATTCCCAACTTGTGCCTTGTAGGTGGTAGACAGGGTTTGGAAGCCAGGAAGTGAATTACCTGCTGCAGTATTCCTAGTCTCTGAACTGTTCTTGTAGCCACTGTGTTTATGTGTCGAGTTTCTAGTCAATGATAACTCTAAGTATGTTGATAGTGGAGGATTCAGTGATGGTAACACCATTGAATGTCAAGGGGCGGTTATTAAATTGTCTATTATTGGAGATGGTCACTGTCTGGAAAGCAACTTCATGCTCTGTGTCTTTAACTGTTCATCCAAAGACATTATTTTTTCTCAACTGCCAGCATAAACTGTCCTGATGCCACAGACAATTTCCCCATTAGTACCACAGTATCCCTCTTCTGAGCAAGTTCTATACAATAGTACTATATATTTGATATTTCTATCCTTCCCCAATCACACAAGTTAACACTTATTTGCTGCCACTCATCAATGCAACTCCTCAGTTTTTTGTAGCCAATTCAGTAACTGTACTTCAGTTATTTGTGAGCCTTCTAGTTTGATATCTTTGATAACTTGAAGATTTAGTTTGTGCTTAATCCCACTTCAAAGTTATTTATGTACAAAATTGAAGAGCCTGACTGAACTAGCCTTCTTCAACTGTTATTTTTAACAAATCTTTCCCTATTTTTACAAGATATTTAACTTCTATTTCAGAGGAAGGCGATGACATGTCAATCCAGGTCACTGCCACCATTTCCTCAGGGGAATTTATATACAGCGAAAATGGAGAAGAAAATCTTTCACTTTCGGACACAGACGACAGAGCTGAACAATCATCCAACATAATCTTGTCCCAGTGGAAACCACTGGATCAAAGCAGAGAAGAAGAAGGAGTTGAAAAAACCTTCCAAAAACTCCGATCACAGTCATCTAGCACAGACAAGAAACTGTCATCAATAACATTCCCGAGCATCCCACCACCACCAAGGGCAACAAGGAGGAAAGGACTATTAGGGCAATCATCATCTCTTAGTATTGAATCAGAGTCTACACTACCAGCCACACCATGTCAACAGTCTGACAATAGAGATCAGGAACAACTTCAAACATTTATTCAAACAGTTCCTCTACCTGGGACTACCAGTATAGAGGAGAAGTCATCCGGTCAACTGCAACAGTCTATCAGAATAACGCAAGAGTTCTCAACATCATTTCACACATTACCAACCCTGCAGCTCACCACCAAAACAGAGGAATTTTTCTCTCAAACTATTCATCAACAACAACCCAACAATAAAGGAGAAAGCATATTTCCAGCCTCCTTTTACACACTTTTACCACCACAACAAACCTTCACAGATGATGAATCAACACCAGCATTGTTCTGTACTGCCACATCACCACTGACCTCCAACAGTAAGCAGGAATTATCCCAAACAACGTTACAAACTTTCATACTTCCAGAATCAGCAAACATAGAACTGAAATTGTACCAAACGACGTTCCAAACTGATACGCTAGCAAATGATAACAGCAGATTAGAAATATTATCCCCAATGCTCCTTGATGTTAGGTCACCAACAGAATTCATCACCAGAGAACAGGAATCATTCCAAGTTATCCCAACTGTGGACCCAAGAAAACAGGAATCGCTTGAAACCATCCCATCAGAGAGCCCCAGACGACAGGAATTGCTTGAAACCATCCCCTCAGTGAGCCCCAGACGACAGGAATCACTTGAAACCATCCCCTCAGAGACCCCCAGACGACAGGAATCACTTGAAACCATCCCCTCAGAGACCCCCAGACGACAGGAATCACTTGAAACCATCCCATCAGAGAGCCCCGGAGAACAAGAATCACTTGAAACCATCCCATCAGAGAGCCCCAGAGAACAGGAATCACTTGAAACCATCCCATCAGAGAGCCCCAGAGAACAAGAATCACTTGAAACCATCCCCTCAGAGAGCCCCAGAGGACAGAAATCCTTTGAAACCATCCCCTCGGAGAGTCCCAGAGGACAGCAATCATTTGAAACCATCCCCTCAGAGAGCCCGAGGGAACAGGAATCACTTGAAACCATCCCATCAGAGCACCTGAAGGAACAAGAAGCAATCCTACAATCATTTCAAAGTAATCACCTAAAACAGAAAATCAGCCGGGTGCAGCTGTTGTACTCACCGGTAGTCAGTGACATCCCACCATCTGAATCTGCTATTAAGCAGGAGGAATATTTTGCAAAGGCCTTGCACATGACCAGCAGATCAGAGGAACTAACATCTGTCACCCTGTTGAATATAAAGGAACCTCCAGCTGAGGGAAGGTCTCCGCAGGGAACTCAAAGAGGCCTGTTGCATTGGAAGGGGGAGGAAGAGGAGAGAGAAACAGTTGAACGATTTCAATCTGTCTGTAAAGATGAAAGGGAGTTGGTAAATATTTGCATCAAGCAGGTTGTTCCAATACTGAACAATTTGGCTGAGTCTGCAAATAAAATGGCTGAGAGTTTTGCTGTTTTGAGTGAACACCAAGCAAACATTGCTTCAAGCCTGCAGGCACTCACCAAAAGCCAATACCTGTGGCCCTGAGTAGATCACAGGACAGAAAGAAGAGAATCTCCTTAGAGGAACTATGGTATCAGAGGGAATGACTGCATCACACAAAACAAATTTACTTTAAAAACTGAACAGTTCAAGATGGAATATTATGGGAAATTGCTGTTCAATGCAATGTACAACCTTTATATACGTCATGGGACTGGGTAGGTCAAGGGTCAGCTGTAGTTACTGTACCGTAATTAGGAATAAAAATGAACTTGAATAAAAATCTGAGGAACAGTCTTACAAGCAAGGCTTTCATCATATGAGTTTTCAGGCAATAACTGTGTTATTACACAAAGCTTTGTGTTAAGGTCAGATGTGCTGGGAAGGAACATCAGAACAGAAACAGGCCATTCCACCCATCAAGCTGGATCTGTCACTCTGTCAGATCATGGCTACTCTGTACTACATCGCCATTCATTCACCTTTGCTGCACATCCTTTGATACCATTATCACTAAAAAATCTTTTGATGTCAGTTTTCAAAGTGCCAAATTATTCTAAACATCTATAGGCTTTTAGTGGAGAAAATTCCAGGGTTCCACTTTGGTTCCCATTTCACTCTTGAACAGCCTAGCTCTAATTTCAAGGCTGCTTCACACTCTCCCATCAGGAAAGACTTTTCCTGTATTTCTACGTTAATGAATTCCTTTATCATTGTACACACTTTGCTCAGATCACCCACAAGTTATTAAACTTAATGGAATATGAACATGCTGTAGCTGTAGGAGTGGCTGTTGATAAAACAGCAACTCAATGCTTTCAGCTTGGAAGAGTTGTTGAGAAGTTGTACCTGACAATGAACAGTTACATGCACCACATGCCCAGTCTTGCTGGCTCTCTCTATCATTTCGCCAAATGGTTGCAAGCAGTTTCTATAAGAGTCTTTAAAAATGAGCATCCATCTTGCACAGAACAGAAAGTGATGCAAGAGAGCTGAAAATGTCCAATCCTGCATCATTACCATTGGCTGGGTCTCGGCCATCTGCCTGCAGAAATCTCCAAAATCTAACAACTTTAATGAGGGAAGACAGCAAAGTAAACATCAGTGTTCAGGAAAGGTGTAATGAAGCATAATGAGTGGCTAAACAGGTTGATTTTCAACCTACAAATCCCATAGCACATCAATGGCAGGCTGCCTGAACAGGAGAGATTCCTGGTCAGCGCTGTGATGAAACGAAAATAGGTGCCTCTACCATCTGAGTTCATAGCTCTGGACTACAACATGCATGGAAAAGTGCATGTTGCCACAACAACCTGGATTTTATGAGCAGTTGACACCAACCATGTAATTAAGAATGTTACAAAGTCTTAACAGCGCACGTTATAATGGGAGAGAAATGCATTGTAACTTATAATGGTTTTGGAATATTTAATCATTGGCTTCTTAACTACATATTCTTCAGTTACGCATCTTTGACACCTGCTGTAATCAGACCATGGGCTTTCATTTGTGCAACCCTTGGGGAAGTGTAGCAAGGACCACAATCAAATAGACAGCATTTATCATTGCACCTATTCAATTTCACACGATCTCATGTACGGAAGCAGTGTAGATCAGTGAGCAGAACGGTTATGGCTGAGCAAAACTTGGTATGAGTTAGGACTGTGCAACATAGGTTTATGAGGGGGTGGAAATTTGGAATGAGCCCATGGAGGTGTTGGTGAGATAGAGCTGAGTGTGATCTGTGTACATGTGGAAATTGAGCATGTTTTGAAATTACAACATGCAGATGGGAATAGAAGGGCACCAAGACAACTTATTCAACAACTCCAGGGGTAAAAACAGATGCAAGAAGAGAAGCTATTTCAGGTGATATTCTGACAGTGATTAGCTAGATATAGATTGGATGAATCAGATTAGAAAAGGTGGCCTGGAAGTTGTGCTCAAAGACAGCTTTTGTAACATTTTCTTAGAGCAGCATTTTCCAGAGCCAACAAGAGAGCAGGCTATTTTGGATCTGTAGTGTGCAATGAGGCAGGATTAATTAAAGACCTTATAGTACTCTCTAGGCAGCAATCACCATACATAATTGATTTTGCATTCAGTTTGAGGGAGAGAAGAGTGGGACTAAGGCTAGTATTTTAAATAAAAGTCATTACAAGGATATGAAGACAGAGCTAGCTTAAGTGGGAACTGGGAAACTAGGTTATACATTATAGTGTATACATTATAGTGTATACATTTAAGGATATATTTCATAATATCCAGCAAGGATACAGTTCAGTGAAAAGGAGAAGGATGTATCATTGTGGTTAACTGAGGAAGTCAAAGAAGTAGCAAATTGAATGAAAATGCATCCTTAAGGTGTAACCCATCCAGCTTATTCAGGTACCATCTGCCTTAAAAGTTGTCCAGATGCCTCAGAAGTCTGATGCCCTCTGTCCTATACCAATTCTCCAACCATATATCCAATCAATCAATGTTCTGCTCACTACAGCATGGCATTGGGATCTAAAGTAACAAAGTCAGAGTTTTACAGCACAGGAAGAGGTTCTTCAGTCCACCGTGTCCAATCTGATCATCAAGCATGTATCTACTAAAATCCCATATTTCAGCACTTGGCCCACAGTCTTGTTTGCTATGGCATTTTAAGAGCTCACCTACATTCTTAAATGTTGTGATGCCTCGTGCTTCTACCATCTTTTTAGGCGGTGAATTCCAGAAACCCACCATCCTCTGGGTGAAAAAAATACTTTCTTAAATCCCCTCTAAATCAGCTGCTCCTTAAGTTAAAATTGTACCTTCTAGTTATTGACACATCTACTAAGGGCAAGAGTTTATTCCTATCAACCCTATCTATGCCCTTCATAGTTTTATGTCAATCAGGTCACTCCCAGCCTTCTCTGCTCTAAGGAAAACAACCTCAGCCTATTTATCCACTCTTCATAGATGAGCCAATCCAGATAATATCATGGTGAATCGTCTCTGCAATCTCTCTATTGTAATCACATGCTATTGTGTGGTAACCAGGACAGCACACAGTACTTCAGCTGTGAGCTATGTAACATTATATACAGGTTCATCATAAACTCCCTGCTCTAGTATTCAATACCTCGACTAATAAAGGCAATTATCCAACAAGCCTTGTTAACCACTCTATCCAGCTGTCCTATTGCCTTCAAGGATTTTTAGACATGTGTACCATGGTCCCACTGATCCTTTATACTTCCTAGGGCCCTACCAATAATCATCTGCTTCCTTGTCTTGTTAGTCATTCCAAAATTCATCATTTCACACTTTTCACAATTAAACTCCACCTTCCATTGTTCAGCCCTATCTGACAAATTCATCTATACGTTCCAAATAAAAGCAAACACTGTGAATTCTGGAAATCTGAAATAGAAAGTGCTGGAGAAATCAGCAGGATTGGAAACACCTGTGGAGAAGAAGTCATATCACATTTGAAACATTAACTTTGTTTTTCTCTGAAACTTGAGCAGTGGTTGAAGTCTCTGTCGTCCATCATGAGGCAGAAAACTATGTGGATACTCTCTCTCTTTGCCCTTCTTCTTTCTTTTCTCACTTCTGGAAAAGTGCTGTGTAATAGTCTGTAAAGAGTGTCCCAGAGTCAGCAACACAGTGAAGCAGCCTGGAAAGAGTGGCCACATGTGTGTCAACAGGAAGCAGCTGGTTGGGTTAGCAAGGCTGGGTGAGTATTTATATTATCTTTCTCGCTTGTACTTTCTAAGGTCTTTATTTTGGACTTTTAGTTTGTATGGGCAGTATTGCAGAGGTCCATTTAAGAAGGGACCCAGAATAATTAATATTATTTGATTTTAAAGGCAATGTAAGGGCTTAATTTAATGGGGTAAGTCATGAAAGAAGAACTCAAGACTGTGGTGTATACCACCCATTCTATGTGGAAAGTTAGTGCCCGGGACCAGAACTTGCACAGGAAGTGCCTCCATTTAAAACACCTGGAAACCTGAGTTTTGGGTAAAGGCCAATAATTCCTGTCTGAATTTTCTATATTCACCCCACAGCCCACTTTATCAAATTCAACCTAAGTGTTTGCTCTCATTTTAAAGATATAAGACCATTTCTTCAACAAAATTACTCTGTTCTCTGACAATTCTCAGTTTACTGACTTGGCTTTGAATGACCTGATGGCTTGGGATCTTCATGCTCCAATAAACCTTAGGAGGGTCATTCCTGATGCAGACAACTATGTAAGAACTGGCACCATTTGACGAAGCTGTTGATGCAAGAGACTCTTTTGTCATGTTGACCTGTTCTTCAAAGTTTTTTGTTGCAAGGCATTAATATACATGTCAGGATAGAAACAGTTTGGTTTGATGCTTAGTGTGCTCTTTAGATTGCAGCACTTCTTTGAGAAGTGACCTCTTTTCCTACAGTCAATGCATTCTTGGTGTAAGGTTGGACAGTTTTGTCTTCGGTGATGTGAAGTTTAGGAAACACACCTGTGACCAAAGACTGTAGCATTAGATAGTTCGGGGTTTCACATTGATGTTGTTGCATACAGTATGATTTTTAGATAAGAGGTTTGTCTCCTCTGGTAAAAAGCTCTATCGTGCTACAAGTAGTCAACACTCTGTAGAATTTTCTGCATTAAATTAAATTCTGCCACATTGTGCTTCTTGAATAATGTCTTAGATGCTGTATCCATTTCTAATTGGACTGCAGATCCTACAGTTAGATCCTGTTTTGATTGAAGAAGTTCAGTAACAGTTGAATCTATGCGACCAATGACAATTCTGTCACAAGTGAGTTCTGATTGTAAGAGTCCAAAGTTGCATGGTTCAAATAATACATGCAGATAGTTACTGAAGTTATCCACACTCTCTCCTGGGAGCTGGTATTTGCTATTAATAATGATCCTGCCAATGACCTATCTATTTTGAAGTGAAATATTGATCAAATGCTGTTTTGGATGTTGTCAAATGTAGTTTGTTTCTCATCGAACTGTTGTTTTTCTTTTTATTTATTCATTCACTCACAGGATGTGGGTATTACTGGCAGGGCCA